TGGGAGAACTTGCACAATTGGTGGCTGACTAAATACTTTTTTGCCCCACTGTATGTCATGACAGAGTCCATTCTAGGCCCTATGCTGTTCAATTTATTTATAAACAAAATTCCTTGGGTAAGTGGTAAGAGTAAGAGGTTAGAAAATAGGATTATCACATTTGTAGCTGACACAAAAATGGAGTACCTTAGGGGTTAGTATCAAGATTCAGGAGGAAATTAACAAGCTGGAACAAAGGGCAGAAAGATAAATCTCATTAGGAACAAATGAACAATTTTACATTTGGGTAGGAAAAAAATTGTGTTTTTAAAAAAATACTGCATTAGTTATTGAACAATATGTATTCATAGAAAACATTAACATATTTGGATCTATGTATTAAGTATTTTAACTGGATTTCTGTATAATTACAGGAATCACACACAGTATGGATGTAGTAGAATAAACTGAAGCCTAATTCAGACAAGACTCAATTGAATACATTCAATAAATAATAATTCAATAAATCCAAATTGCAGCTGGTCCAGAATGTAGCAACACAAGTAGTAGCAGGGCCACCTGTGTATGTCCGTTTAGAGTTTTTGTGATTGAAGCAACATAAAATAATTAAATGAATACATAAAACTAATGCTAGCATTTTAGTTTTATATTTTATAATTGTCATGTTTTTAATGTTTTATGGATGTTTTCACTGTCTTTGTAAGCCATCCAGAGCTATTAAGGTATGGGCAGAATTTTATATAATACATACACATGGAACCTGTATTCTCCTTGTTATGAATATTTGATTATAGCAATTTCATTACTGGAAGTTATTCTAACTCCTATGGCTACCCATTCAGTCTCTCTCTGAAGTTACATGTAGAGCAGCCATTTATCTTCCACACTTTGGGGGGAGGGGTTTGTATATAGCATGTGTGTAAACCCCTGCTCTATCTGTCTACGTAAGTGAATGCTGTATATTCTGTAGTCTAAGAAGGAATGTGAAGATAATGGTTAAATAATTATTAAATTTGTATACCATATGACATCATATAGAAGAATCAGAAAAAGTATGCCAATACAATTTAGGTATCTCCAAATATTCACCAAGTGTGGAAGCATTGATGTTATTCTAAAGCTGATTTTGTAACTGATACTCTTCACCCTCAAATTGCCTGCACTGAGAAACACTGGCTAATCTCATTCCGCACATCCAAACTTTACCAGCTAAGAAGCTTGTAGCCTCCACATTATATAGAAGGTAGCCTCCTTATATGAAAAAGAACTGTGTCCTACTCATGGGCAGCGGAATCTATCCATAAGACAGGATATCATCAAGGGGATGTTTCATTTTTAGGGGAAGGCATAGGATGGTAAAGAACGTCTTCTTCCACTTGCTTTTAACTCTGCAATATCAGTTAGATGAATAGGAAGGGTTACAAGCAATCTTGAAAGGAAGAGGTTAAATCTACAGAAGGCACAATGAATTTATAAGCACAAAACGGTTTCATTATCAACTCAAAGGCCTTTTTGTGCACTTATTTAAGTTTTAGACACTGAAGCAGAAATTCATTTTTCCTTTAAAAAAATTAAAAGGAATGATCACTGAAGTTCATCTCTACTGAAGGCTTTCTCTTTACCTGCTGCCAACAAAGGAGCTTGTACAAAAGTTTTTAGATGATATTTGTTGTATTTGTAATTGGTATTTGTAAGCAGTGTATATGCTGTTTTTGGACAATTGTTGAAAGTCTAACACAGAACATTTAAGCAAGTACCACGCTCACTATAAGACCAGGCAGAAAGAGTGCTGCAAACAATTTAAGACCAGCCACAAACCAGAATTAATCATCAAGCTATCAGTTGTTTTGTAAAACTTTATTTTAAATTCCTGTAGTTTTGTGTTTAATTATATACCTTGCATTCCTGTTGGTACTTTCATGATTGTCCAGGGGAAGTCTGCTGTTTTCCTTACCACTGAGGCTTTCAAAAAATGTTCATGAGCCAATAAATAGGTGCAAATAACAATTTGAGGTTTTTGTTTTATTTTTAAAAAGCATATTTATTGTTTAAAAGGCCAAGTTGAGAAATTGTGTGATTAAAAAAAGCACAGTGCAAAAGTTATCCAACATAAAATTCTATACCTGTTCCTCTCAAGCATCAAGCATTCTTATATTGTTCCCACAAAGTCTCCCATTATAGTCAAAGTAGCTGCATTGAGCTTAATTCATAAGTTAAGATGTAATCCATTAAATTCCCATGCTTTACTACCATCAAAAGGAAATGATGCTATGCCAGAAATGCAATTTGGAAAAAAAAATTGTGCAACATGCTAAAACATCTTCAGACCAATTAGTTAACAGCGATTCCTTTTGGACAGACATTCAGTTCTGCATCACACACTGCTTCCCAAAGATGGTACAAGAACTACTGTTATCTTTCAGACAGAAAGGATGACTATCTCATAAGGATTCTCCCCAACGTATGTTGATGAGAAATTTTCCACACAACTCTTCACTGAAATTCTTTTCCTAATATTTTCTTAACTCAAATAGAATATTTGTATTATTAGTATAGGAAGAATGTTATGCTACTTTTGCTGTTCCCCGTTTAAAACAGGACAGAGTGATGCTTGAATACAGTACTGTACACCAAAACAAAAGTTTTGGAGCACAGTTCCCCCATTCAGAACCCCTTTAAAAAGTGGTTCAGTTTGACCTTTTTATTGAACGCTACAGCGTTTTTCTAATACAGTACAAAAGTCAACCATTTTTTAAAAGATTGGAGATAAAGAAGAGATTGCCATTAAGAAGGCTATCTAAATGTAAAGATCTTATTCCCTATCCAGTGCTCATAACTTCCAGTTAGGAGCAGTTACTAAATTTCATCCACTAAATCAGTGTTTTTCAAACTTGGCAACTTTAAGATGTGTGGACTTCAGCTCCCAGAATTCCCCAGCCACACATCTTAAAGTTGTCAAGTTTGAAAAACACTTTTCTAATTCTTGTGGTTCAAAGAGAAGGCCCCTGGAATTGATATAATCTCTCAACAGTATACGCATACACACAGAGAAGCTGACGTAGGAACCCACCCACTATTCAACTTAGACTGTTGCACAGCCCTGGAAAGGAAGCTCTACAAAGCATCCTGTCTTGAAGTACAAGAGGTTTCCAAGTTGTTAGTGCATGAGTTTGCTCTGCTCAGATGGACCACAAAGTGAAGTGCCCATGTATGCACACCACGTAAAGGGAATCTGGTAAAGCCCTTGAAGCAGCCATTGGGAGTCTTCTGGAACAATGGCTGTGTCAACCTTTGCAAAGCACCTATCTGAAAGCTTTCCAAGCCTTGCTGTTTGAAATCCTCTGTAAAGTTAGCACAGCCAAGAGGCAAATGCTGACAGACAATAAAAGATCTACTTGCAATCAGTCCTCCCAATAATTTCTGACACCTTTTTCACCCCCAAAATATTTTACTTTCAACCATTGCACTTCCCTGACTGTTCATTTTAAAAAGGAATATTAAAAATTCAAATACTTCAGTATTTCTGACCATTTTGCAGCATCAGCCTTCCTGAATTATGAGCTGACCAATTTATAAAAACCTAAGTAGCTTTAATTTCATATGTTCACCAAAAACAGAAGGCTACCAGCTAATAATCCTGGTAAAATTGGGTAAATTCCTGCTATTTAAAAAATAAAAAGGCACAGGAAATATTTGAACTCTTGCTTTTTGTCCTGCTGTGCTCTCTATTCTATGTTTTGTTGCTCAGATCACTAAACCAGTAGGTGGTCTTTCAAACAGCCTGCTACGCTGGCTATCTAACCCTATTTAGTTGAATGGCTGAAGGGAAGTAATTCATCAGAATCTGAAAGAGGCAAATTAGATCTTGCAAGAGAAAGGGGTATAAAGACAACAAATATGGCTAGTGCCCTAGTAAGGTGTATCAATGCAAAGAAGTCTATGGCTTTTGCCTCTCTTCACTGCTGGCTCTCTAATAAAATAACTTCAAGAAAGAGCTTAACAATCGCATGTCTGACATAAAAGCAGGGACAAAGAAGGCCACAGTTCATAAAACTTCCCTAAGCTTAGACATGACATTATTGGCAAAAAGGACAAAAGCAGCAACTGGCTTTTCATGGCAAAAAATGGCACTTCAAGAAAAGCCACAATAAGAGGATTCGGCAGCTGCGTCACAAGGCAGTCCAAAGCCTCTTTCCACAAAAGATTCATTAAAAGAAGTCTGTTTTGAATGTGAGCAGAGGAAGACTTATCAGATACGACAGTCAACCACAAGAAGATTCCTTAGGCTAGGCTTTTGGAGTGTTGAAAGGTCCCAATACCCATACTTCCTGCAATGGTATTTTTGATCAAGAGGAGTGGAGATCTTCCTTCAAATGCAGAAGATCCTTCATGGATCCTGAGGAAGCTGAAGGGGAAATGCTGAATGGAATGGAGAAAGCACACACCAGTGGTTCATAAGCAGCCAAGACAGTACTTTCCATTGTCCCTGCCAAACTGAAGGATTGCTTTCTCTTCTGATTTTCTCAACAGTGCAGACAGAGAATTTGCTAGTGCTTTTAAAACTATCATATAGATTTGTCTGAATGGCACTCTAGACCTCTGATCAGATGAAAAAGCAAATGCAGTTAGCAGCAACCCCAGCTGGGCGTGGATCCATCTTTCAAATTGATGTAGTCCCCATGGCCTGAAATAGACATGTCTCTATCACCTGGCAAAGTTGTGGCCATCATCTTTTCAATAAGGACCCTAGGAAGAAAGAAAACTGAATTAGCCACAGAACATGCAGCAATCATTTGACAGCATCTCAAGAAAGAGTAAGTCTCCATTTATTTTTGCAATCTCTCTATTCTGGATCTCTTCTATATAAGAGTGTAATTATGGAAATCTGTACTACCCTGTTTGTACAGCATCTTTTATAACAGAACTACAGGTCAACAAGCATCTAGATGGGTTTGTAACTCTGCAGATGCTCATTGACTAAAGTTGGGATTGCTGAGGATGAACACCAATATGGGCTAAAATCACCCAAAGCAAGTTCTGTGCATTAACACTGATAAGGCTAGGCATATACTGTTGTTTGTTCTGTTGTACAGTTTACTGCCTCTTACTATAAGAGTTTAGACTTCTATAGAGAATCACTGTTACATTCCAAATATAAGCTATTAGCAACAGCAACCATCTCGGTATAAATCAGCCTTGATCTCCGAGGTAGTTCTCATTCCAATTTTAGCTGCAATACCTCCTATTTGTAGAATTTAAATATGCCTGCAGTACTACTTGGTACTACTACTTACTTACTTACCTGTCAGAAAGGAACAATATGCCTCAACTGTTTTTGAGAAACATTTAAACATTCGATTTTCCCTACCTCATTGATTCATTTACATTTTTGTTTTCCTTGACAGATATCTCAGTCCAACCAGTAAAGCCATTCTCTTTGCTGAACCGATCAATTTCTTCTCTAGTCACAGCCCATGGATAAAGATCACTCTGGAAAAGAGTTAAGTAATGCTCAAACTCATTGTGAAAACAATTAAATATTGAGCACAATTTTTTCTCTGCCACTATTGTTATATTGTAACATGGCTGCTTGATTATAAAACACATCTTTAGCTCAACACTGCTGCAGTTTAAACTAGCAAGGTAGGTGGTAGTGTATTCATGTCCATTCTGCAATTAAAGAAAATATACCTCTAGTGGTCTAAACGAAGAATTACATAAACCGATTAATACTTTTAGAGTTCACCATTTCATTTGCGTCATAGGAGCTAATTTCAGACAGTGTTACATTTATTATAACTCAGTATAGGATTTGCCTTGTATTTTTGTCACCAATTGTAATAACTAACTCTGAGAGGGATTCTTCCAGATGCTGGCATTTTTTGTTTCTCCTTATGACCTGTGGCTTGGCTGTTAATATGAGTTATCTGGAATGTGTTTTGCAAATTGCATTGCTGAAATGATAAACGAATTAGCATCAATTTACCAATGATTTGAAGCCATGCATTTCTCCCCAAGCTCCAGTCTTGGGGTTTTAGTGGCATGCTGGAGATTGAACTCAAAAGTGGGTAGGACTTGGACAAAAACTAATTTTAATTTAATTTACATATACATTAAATTACAATAAATATGATTACTCCCCATTGTATTTCATAGTTTCTTCCTTCTGCAAACATTAAAAATCACACTGCAAAAAGAGGGGGAAAAAAAGAAAAAGAAAAAGCGCTTCCATTTATTGACAGACAAGCCTGGATCCAATTCAATATTCTGAAATGGAATTTAAAAGCACATTTTTGAAAATCCTAAAAACCTATGGTGCTTTATGGCAATATCATTTTTAAAAAATGATACTCTTTGGCTCAGCTGAAAATAGGACAGAGAATACTAGGAAGGAAAATTATCTAATTTGTCAAGGACAGAGCAAATTGCTCCAAGAAAATTGAAATCAATGCATTGTAGAGAGATTTAATTTATACACCATGAGTATACAATAGCACTATTATGTGGATTTATCATGTATAGTATACAAAGATCCCAGAATCATATTAAACAACACTATTAACTTATTAAATGACTTCAACTTAGTAATGAAGGAAATGTAACTCTGATATCATTTTTCTTTTAGCTATCATTCTAATAAATAGCTATTGTATTTTAGTTTTGATGAACTTGGATAATCAACTCTCATTAAGCTTGAGTTTTGAAAAATATCCATACATTTGCATAATGCAATCTGCCCCATAGCATTACATTAATTTGACAAGAAAATTAAACTGAGCAGCAGGGAATTTGCAGAAGCGTCAGAATGTTCCTGTGTCCAGGTTTAGCTTAAGGACTCTCAATATACAATGACATCATCAATTCATATAATGCTCAAGATTTAATTCATAGAATTTAGGCTTCCCTGCCTCTGTTGGATTAAAATTTCAAGCTGGAGATGCAGCGTATTTATTAAGGCTATAAACTGAAGATCCCCAATTCAGATCTCCATCCTGACATAAGGTTATTGGGCATGGCACCTTCTCTCAGCCTAAGTTATATTAACTGGCATAGAACGCAGCACCTCACTTCCTGATTGGTATTAGCCAGTTTAATAGAATAACTTCTGCTCTATGGGAACTGACCTGGCTGTTTGTAGGTTTCCAAGCCAATTCGAGGTGCTGGTGAGCACCTATCAAGCCCTTTATCACTCAGGCCCTTATCTTTGGGACAAACTTCATGTAGAATCTGCCTGACTTACATGGTCTAATAGGGGAAGAATACCCATTCTGAAAAAAACAGAGGGCTGGGACTTGGAGATTGATTTTTGCAGCATTAGTCCCCTCCTTCTGGAATAGCTTGCTCTTTAAGGTTCAGTGTGTGCCGATTCTGATGATGTTCCAGATGATAAAACAGTCCTCTTTAAGAGAGCATTTGGACTTGTTTGACAGCAGCTAACAATATAACTTTTAACATTTTGACAGGATGTAGCTAGTAGGTGCTATGCTTTGCCTAACCTTATAATGTATTTCCTGTAAATAAAATTCCTTCCGTTAGTTATAATATCTGTCTCACTAACCCTTGCTCAGTTAGATTCCAACTTAGGAATGCTCACACACAAAATACTTGAACTTCCTACAAAACCCAGATCTGAGATGAGATCCAGAAGTTCAGGAAAGCATGCTGCCATACAGCATGGTGGATGGTTCATCAGCAGGACTCCCAACTTGTCCCTACAACCAATTGCACATATAGGCAATCCTAACACACTGCCTGGTCACAATCAAAGCTTCTCAGAAGATAATTTCTACCTTACTTCTCCTGCCCTGAAATCACAGCTTGTGCAGGAGGGCATCCCTCTGATAGGATGACATCTCTATTCTTGCCCAATACATGAAACAATTTAATGCCAAGTCTTCCAGCAATTCAGCATCATGGACCCAGGACTGCTTTGCATGAGAATTTATCTATGTGGTCACTAAGAGTTGACGCTGACTTGATGACACTGATTAATCATCCACAACTTTTACACTACTCCTTTAGTCTTAGGTCTAACATCACAGGTAGTTGCTTTTTTACTGAAATCCTTTTCTGATGGAATCCCTTGCCTGACCCATCCATTCCCAGAGATCCACCATGCTCCTTTTTTCCCTGAGCAGCAAAAACAAATACACCAAAAGCATGGTAACCTGCCATGGTAACCATGGCAATGTATACATCCATTTGTATGCCATCTCTTTGAAAAATTCTATGGTGAAGAAACAATGCATATCTATAGTCACTTATAGCAATAGGAAGACAAGTTCTAGTAAGTCAGTATTCACTTACCTTATTAGCCAATAACAGACAAGGGACAAGGCTTCCATCTTGCAGCTTCACCTTGCTGTCCAAATCTTGTTTCCATTTCTGGCAGCTAGTGAATGTGCTGAAGCTGGTGACATCAAACATGATGACACAAGCTGATGCCTCCTTGTAATACAGTCGAGTCATAGATGTGAAACGTTCCTGACCTGTAAGTTAAATGAGAAACAGTATTAAATCATTATCTTAAAGCAAATATTTTCAGATTCAACTGTAACAGGATTTTATCTTTAGTGTTTCATATTAAACTTTTCTCAATCAAGCCAATATGATCAGAAATAATCCAAAGTAAAATGGAGGCTTTCCACACCATTAAACTTGCTCCTGTTTGCTGGCTCATAATACAAATGTGCTAAATAAATATTATGTCTACCAGGCTGGAGAAATGGTAGATTAGGGTCTACTGAAAAATCATTGGGTCGCATTTAGTATATAGGAAGGTTGTGACTTCCCACTATTGGGCAAGAGCACTGACTCCAAATTTTCTCTCCCAAAAACAAAAATCAAAACCAGTTCCTAGGCTAAGCATATGTTTCAAGACACACATTGCGCTGCTTTAATGTTAAGTATATGTCTGTCTCACTGGATCATGAAGCAGAGAGGCCCACTTTGAGTCTCCAAGGCCACAGGTAGTCTGTAGAAGTCTTGAGCAGGCCTCTCACAGACCTACAAAACTTGTCCAAAGGTAGAGACTCCCAAATCAAGCTTGACACCTGACAACTACATGTGTGTCCATGAATTCTTCACACCAGCAGTGCAGAAGTGGCTTGCTTTTGCTTTCTTCCAAAATATTTTTTTCAACTTTGCAATTTATCTATAGCTCTGGAATTTCCTGGTGGTCTCCCATCTAAGTATCAACAAGCTTTGATCCTGCTTACCTTTTTGAAACAGCCACATTGCTCTAGCTACTTCCACCTGCTCTAGGCCCAAAAGCCATTACTTGATCATCTTTTTTAATGCCAGAAAAGGGAGGAAATTATAATTGTCAGTAAAATAATTATATTAAATATATTGTGAAGTAATGTAGACCTGGTCTTGGGAATGGGGAATGAGAACCCTTAAAGGGGACTTTCAGAAAAGATTACTCCATCCTGATAAAAAGGAAAGTGTGAGAAAGAAACTCAAATAACCCTGCCTTGATTTAGTTTGGTATCAGGTGGGACAGAGAAAAACTCTGACAGGCTTTCAAGATTCTGTTATTTTCACCCTACAACAATAAAGAGCATTCCTGGTATCCCTGCTGTGTCTGTTTCTTGACTTGGCCTATCTCAAGAGGCTGACACACATTTAACTTTAAGTAAGCATATATGAAAATAAGATGAAATCAAAATTAGCTCTGGTCCTCATCCCAACTACTGCTTTTTAGTATTGTCCCTGCTCTTGAAAGCCACTTTGGGGTAGTGGTTAAGGCACCAGGCTAAAAACTGGGAGACGAGTTCTACTCCCGCCTTAGGCACAAAGCCACCTTGGGCCAGTCACTTTCTGTCAGCCCTAGGAAGGAGACAATGGCAAACCACTTCTGAAAACCTTGCCAAGAAAACCATAGGGACCAGCCCAGGCAGTCGCCAGGAGTCAAGATTGACTCAAAGGTGCAGGCGTACATGTGCGTACACACACATGCTGCCTCTTGACATATCACTCAAAGTACTGTATACCAAATGAAAATGAAACACAAGCAGATGTTATAAGGATCTCATAAAAAGAGAAAATAGATATGATAAGCCTGAAAGCTGCCTTAAAGGAAGATAACTTTCTCAAGCTTTTTCATGGTGTTCCAAGAACTATCGCTTCTGAATTGACACAGCAAATTATGCAAACTATATTACAAGGAGGCAAAGCTATGTAAATACTTTCAATCTGAGTTCGACTCCTAACGTACACCTTTTGTGGCATCAACAACAGATAATAGTCCGTCACTGCTTTCTTTCAAGGTGTTTTTTTGGGCAGTGGGGGATTTGACCTCCCAAGCTAGACTACAGCCCACACAGTTCTCCCATCCAAATGCTAGCCAGACCTAAGCCTACTTAGCTTCGTAGCAGACAAAGTTGGTCAGGTGCTGCCACCTACTGAGACCACAAAAGAGGTACAAGACATAAACATGTTAGTGAAATATTATGTGATTTGAGATTTCTTCCCCTATAGTGTAGCTTAACTGTTAGGTTGATTAACAAGTAAGGTAAGTACAATTACTCTGGAAAAGGCCAAGAAGCAAAAAAGCAGGTAACTTTTTGAAACTCACCAGCAATGTCCCATAGCTGCAGCCTCACTGTTTCAGACTCTGACCATTGCACCACCTTCAGAGCAAAATCCACTAAAAACACACACAGAAAATGAGAGAGGATAAAGCAAACACCAGTTATTGCTAAACAATATAGTACTTGCTTTCATACTGTGTATCAGTCCTGATTACCCACTGTGTACAGATGCTATACAATACATTGCCTATTGCACAAGCCACAGAACTTTTGACTTCATGGGGAAAAAAATTATTAATCACACTGAAGAACAGGGGAAACAAACAGCCCCTAACTGTATTTCTTCCCCACACACAGAGCTTTAGACTATATGGGGACTAGTTACCTGTGAGCTACAATGATTTGACAACCATTTGATTCCCCAAATGGCTGGGGTATATTAAGCAGTTGTAACTCAAGGGATGTGTACACCATATAGAAATGTTTGAATTACATATGCATTATGATCTCTACCATTACTGATTTTAAATGGAATAAATTTAAGTATGACCACAATTGTTGGCAGCAGCACATATTCCTGGTTTATTTTGAGGTAAAATCTGCACATGTTTCTCAAGACAACTTCTTAGGCATTGCAACATTCTTCCTCCATCAGTACACAATAAGTGCATCAGCACAAACGTATCTGCTTTAAGCACCATTGTTTCTATTAGTTATTGAATATGTCTTCTACTTTTAAGTGTTCACCCTTGAATCTCTCTGGAAAAACTTAGAAGAGCAACTGTCCCCAAAACTGACTCATTATGTCCACTGTCATGACTATCAACATATAGGACAACCAGTAAATCTTAGAAATATTCTACTACAGAAGCAGAGTTTTGTCCAGAAGTGTGCCACCTATGTACTCCAACTAGGTAGTGAAGGGTAGATGAGAAGGAGGGAAGGAAGGAAGGGAGGGAGGGAGAGAGGGAGGGAGGGAGGGATTGAGCAAGCTGAGTGAATGTTCCTGGGGCACATCTATACTGTTTTCCCAAAGTGTGCTGAAAGTTTATAAACTTTCTTTTTCTTTCTCTTTCTTTCTCTCTTTCTCTCTTTCTCTTTCTTTCTCTCTCTCTCTCTCTCTCCTGCCTTCCTGCCTTCCTTCTTTCTTTCATTTATATAAATACCCATTTCACTTTTACGAAGTAGATTAGACAGATGACCAAACAGATGACCAGATGAGCTATTTTTACTTTATTGTAAAGCTACAATAACAGAATCTTGCAAGTCTGACAGTACATCTCTCCCCCCCTCCCCACCCGTCTCCTTTACAGCCCAAGAAACTAGGGAGCTCTCTTCTGAGCTTCTTGCCCCATCCACATTCCTGCTGAAGGGTCAGCTGCCTTTTATCTGACCGTTCCCTTGGTTGCATTTCTTTGCCCTGTCTCCCAAGGTCATTCCCACATACCATTACAGCGGCGTACAATAAAATAAAATACATAAAATACACAATATAAAAAATAAAGATAAAACACACAGCAGCCAGGGATCCTCCAACCAATTGTCCCCAGAGCCAGGAGACGAGCTCTATCACATGCCCAGGGTCGGACCCAAACCAGGTTTTCAAGGCCTTACGGAGGGCCAACAGGGAGGGGGCCAATCTAATCTCAAGGGGATGATGTTCCAAAGGGCAGGCACCACAGTAGAAAAGGCTCTTCTTCTGGGCCCCACCAGCCGACACGCCTTAGCCAACAGTACCCAAACCATGCTCCTCCTGCAAGTATACGCTTTATTATTGTGAGCCAACAATAATTGGAAGGTAAAGGGTATGTGGATGTGGGTACACAGTTAATTCCTTGATACTAAGTAGCAGGGCTGATCTTAATATAAATGTAAAGAATTATTTTAACGTGGATCATACCTCTCTGCTATCCTTATCTACCCATAAATGGTATGTGGGAATGACCTTGGGAGACAGGATGAAAACCCACAGCCTGAGCAATGGTCTAATAAGAGGCATCTCAGTCCACAGGTGGGGGAAAAGCACGGGAAGCATTTCAGAAGGGACCCTCCCTAGTTTTCCAGAGATTAAAAAGAGAGGAGGGGAGAAATACTTTCGGTCCTGCAAGATTGATGTCAGCCTTGCGAGGTAGTCCAGACAGGAAGCATGCCCAGATGAACTAATTCTATTTTATTGTAAAGTTACCTTAACAGAATCTCACAGAGTTTTGCAGGCATAGGGAAGGGATATTCTGGCAACTGTTGTTGTTTTTAACTTTGGTTGCTTTTTTACTGGCTTTATTCTGTTTTAACTGTGAGCTGCCCAGAGTCATGTATATGAGATGTGCGGCCCACCAATTTACTAACTCAATCAGTGCACTGGAACTCCTAAGACTCTTCACGGCAACTATTTTGTGAATGGACCAGTTTCCATTTTGCAAGAGCGCCTGCAACATGTTCTCAGAATTCCAAATCCAATCACAAACCCAAGTCCACCTGAGTCACAAATTACTGTGATCTTTTCCCTCTCACAGATTAAAACAAACATAACATTTCACTGCAGGATGTATACTTTTAGGATCTGTACCAACATCCTGCATTTTTCCCCACAGTGCAGGGGAAACAAAACTAAACTGGACAATGATTATAATCTAAATCCAATGTTTCAAATTCCAGGCAGACTGGAAACCGCCCCCCCAACAACCTGCAAAGCATCTCCATTTTAACTGATCAATATCTATTTCAGGAATGGAACTGGGCCCTTTATTTATCATGTCTTCAGTGAAACTCTCTTTTACTGACCTCTGACAAGGGGATAATAATTCCCCTTGTACAGCAATCCTGTTACACACAGAGAGGATTTAACCCAGACCTCTTCAGTTTTTTAAGCATTTAGAATCAGAATGGTGATAAAGGATTCCATACAAAGTTAAAGCAATTACTAGCTGGCAGCCACATTAACTTTAATTAAAAGCAGTTGCAAGTTCCTCAGATAAACATGACTGTGATACAGTATTCCGTAATGGCACTAGATCAGATGATAGGCGAATACTCTAGCTAATCTGGCATTACAATTCCTGCTGAATCACTTACAGAGCAATCCTATATCACTTTTGACAAAGTGACTCAGGAGATTTAAAAAGCTCTCTATTTGGGCTAAGACAAAGAGTTACAAGGGAAAGCGGGGGGAGGGGAACCAGAATATAAATGTATGTATTTAGCTAACCTTCAAATCAGTGTTGACTCCTGGTGATTGCCTGAACAGTCCAGAACAGCTGAGAAGCAAATGATGTGATCTTGGATATGTATCATACAATGTGTTGATGTATTGTGGTGATGTATTGTCCCTGCAGTTTTCTTGGCATGATTTCAGAAGCAGTTTGCCATTTGTTTCTTCAGTGACGACAGCAGTCACTGGCCCAAGGTCACCCAGCTGGCTGTGTGCCTAAGGTGGGACCAGAACTCACCGTCTCTAGCCTGGTGCCGTAACCACAGAAAAGCTTGTCAGCAGTGTGCTGACAGTGTATGCTTACAGTGTATGCTTACAGTGTGCACCATTAATATGGAACTGGGGTGGGTGTTAAAACTTTCTTCAGGGCAGAGACTTTACTTTGCCTTTTGGGGCTATGCCAAGAACACACTCCATCTGTGTACTGACCAGCATATTGGTCTGGTCAAAAACTAAATTTGATTTCATTTGCATCTACATTATTATAATACTCAGCTCCATTAAAAACTAATACTCAGCCACATTAAAAATTCTAATTTGGTAGTGACTTTCAGAAATCTCACAACTAACCCCAGGTTGTGCATCTCTGGTAAAAATCATCAGATATTCTGGGCAGTTAATCTCACACAAATCACTGGATATTGATAATGCCTAAATAACGAGCTTAAAAAAATAGTTAATGCCTTGTTTCATTCAGTATGTGCACACATAGTCAAATGTCCTACATAGATATTTAGCATCAAGGGGTAATTTATTTGTATTATTATTTCCATTCATTATCTGTAGAATAAAATAAGTAGAATAATTTATCTTAAAAGAGACTATTCTAATACAAATATTTATATCAGTGCATGTTAAAAAAAAAAAAAAGTTTGCAGCCTACTCAATTCTCCTCACGCTAGGATTTATGCTGGACTAGATGGAACTGACAAGTAAGAGTACATACTTAGATCATACATTGAAATTCTATATATGTAATAGATATTCTGCCTTGAATTATCAATTTTAAGAAAAGACTAATTCAGATTAATCAGAAAAGAAAAGAAATGAGCCAGTTTAGTCTAGTGGTTAAGACAGAAGACTAGAAAGCAGGAGACTGTGAGTTCTAGTCCTGCCTTAGGCATGAAAGGCGGCTGGGTGACTTTGGACCAGTCACTCTCTCTCAGCCCAATTCACCTCACAGGGTTTTTGTGGGGAAAATAGGAGGCGGAAGGAGTATTAGGTATGTTTGCTGCCTTGAGTTATTTATAAAAATAGTAAAGGCAGGATAAAAAAAATTAAAAATAGCAGAGCAGACAGCCCATCTTAATGTGAGGGACTGAAAGTTGGGGTTGCTGTCTGTGTTTGGGAAAAGTAGCTGCAACCAGACAGAAACGCTTCTCACCCCTATTCCCTCATGCATTCATTCAGTAACTCAAATCTTATTCACAAGCATCCAAGCCGGCATTCCAGCTGCCTGTGATAATAGAGCCACACCCTGGCATTTTCAAGGACATGTTGACATCCAGAAGCAGCCTTACTTCACCCAGGCTCTTAACTTAAAAAAGCAAATGCTAAGACAGAGCAGGGAAGATGTGTGTAGGAGGAAATGTGATAAGCAAACAGCATATAGATGGGGAAGTGGAGGCAATGCCTGAAGATTGGCAGCTATTACAAGCAGGCAAGAGGACTATCATTCAACTGCCAGGACCACAAGGTACAATGAGCAGCATATCCTGGTTTCAGTCCTGCCTGGAGCTTGGAGCTTTGCTGGGAACTCAGTAGCAACTAGAAGAACCACCACACTGAAGCAACACCTCATCCCAACTAGAGTAAGAATGTCTGGAAAAAGGCAAAGGTTGCATGCCGCTTTACAGACTTTAATACTTAGTTCAAGCAAAAGTCTATAAGGACTGAGTAGTAAAGACATATTTACGTGGCAACATCACTTTGTAAGCCCTAGACGGGTGGAGAGCAATAGTCTGTTGTTGGGGAAGGTGTGTGCTGCAATAAAGCATTTTGTATAGATTTGCTACACTGTGGTGCGTCCAGTCCTTGAAAAACAAAGAACCCTCATACTTAACATAGAAAAATCAATGTTTGGTATAGTTTTTTTTATGGCAACAAAACACTACACAATCAGAGCTTATGAAGCAGACTAATTATTTAACAACTGACCACTAAAAGTAAGTATGATCACATTTTACTATGATACTTCAAGCAGCATAGTAGTTTCCAAAGTGAGGAAAAATAGGGTTTCATTTCAACAAAGGATGGAAATGCCAGAAGAGACAAAGAGGAACTAAGTAGTACAACATTCAGATAAACAGGAATTACAGAAATAAGGCAATTATCTTTAGTGGTAACTTTACTTGCAGAAACGTTTCAGTGCAAGCCTTTTCATCAGTCAAATCTTTGCAATCAAGGAAGAATTGAGTGCACAAGAAGAACTCTGTACAGTAGAGCCCTTCCTTTCCCTGCTGCCCCCACCCCAAATATTCTTAGATGTTTCTGTAATTTTCTTGAGTCCTGCAGAAAAATCCAAAAGACTCACCTCCTACTGTAGACTTGTAGTGCTTGTTGAAGTTGTCATTAGCATATCGCTGGACCAATGATGTCTTCCCAACTGTGGCATCACCAATAATTAAGACTTTGAACATGTGGTCGTGATGGCCCACCATGACTGAACACCAAACCCAATTAAAGGAAGCGTGTGCTACCGCCTCCTGCCTTTCCTGAGTGGACAACCACGTGAAGGAGGGGGAAAAAAGCACACTTCGTGTTACCTAGAGGGAAAAACCCTGTACGTTCAATCGTAGTTTCTGTAATACCGGAACTCAGAAAAGAGTCACTTCCTGGTTTTCTGTCTGCAAGGATCACCTCTTTCCGAGCCAGCACACCCCTAATTTAGGGGCCAGGGGACCAAACATGCCACTCCCAGAAGTGTTTTTTCAGTCATGTGCACAGTTACGATGCTGCGACAGGAACTCGGAAGAAGACTCGCCCGCCCTATCTCGCTTTCTTAGAAAGACCCAAGGAAGGGCTCCCCACTCGATGGAGCAGCAAAGCGAGAGAATCGAGCGCGTTTACCGGGAAGGCAGGCAAAGCTTAAAGCGGAGTCTCTCGCGCGCTTCCTTCGCCCGCCCTGCTTCCGACCCCGGCCGCCAGCCCTTTTCCGCATTCGCCTGGCTGTCATGTGAGAGGGCCAGGCGGCAACTCTGCCCCTTTAAACCCCAAAACTACATCACCCGGCATGCATTTGTGAAGCGCGTCTTGATTTCTTGGGAAATGTAGTGTTTTAATCTACTCCGGCAGACGCTTCAGTAAGAGGGGCGTGTTGGTTGTTAACAATTTAAAATCACGCCTTGCAGCGTTTTTCCACAGATAAAAATAGGCAGCCCTGTTAGGAAAATTCTTTGTTGAAGGATATGCTCTTTTTTTATTCCTTCTGCAAAATGAGCGTGACCCGCGTGCTGTCTGTGCCTTTCTTGCCATATGGATTGGATAAACATGGGAGTAAAGAATAGCGAATTGAATATGGATTTAAATGGAAAAAACTTGGTTTCCATGTCACTACTTGGGGATGGGTGGGGCATATAAAATGTATATGTGCCTAAGATACATAGGCATCACCTTTCATGTTAGCAACGTTATACATAGGGCACAAAAGGACTATAGTACGTAAAACTCCTTCCTTACAAAAGGAAATCGTATGTAAAATTAAAGGCACGAAATAAAGAAATCTAACGTTGGTGTACATTAAGGTTACTAGATATCTGATCAGGCAAAGGAGAACCCAGCCAACTGAAAAGGAGGAAAAATGGGAAAGGAGGGCACACTCTAACTTTCTTGACATCCGCGACAAAAATTACAGTGAAAAACTGCAAACAAACAAACAAAAAAATAGTACTTAAGCCTACGTGAATGTAAAATTACTTTTTCCGGCATCAGAAAGACTGCTTTTCCAATCGCAGGAATGTGCTAGAGCTGTTGGAAGGCAAAACCCTTCAGGTGTAACTGATTAAAGTCTTGTTGATTTCAGGCAGCAGAGCAAGCTGGCCGGAGGGTGCTAATCAACTAATTAAGGTCACAGAGCGGAGCTTGTTAAGTTGCGGTTAGCACTGACTAGAGGAGCGCCGCGACGCGGAGAAAAGCTGCTCGGAAGCGATACGCAAAAAGCCCGACAATGTTTGATTTTAAGGCTATGGCTGCCGGGCGGAGGACATGAGGACAAAAACGAAGACGTGTCCTCCTTTTGGCAGATATCTGGTAAGCCTAGTTTACACCAACATCATTCATTATACTCTGGGCACCTTTCTATTTTGACAACCTATTTTCTATCCTTTCTATCTTGGCAACCTACAGTATTCTTATTCTCACCACATCCACGTACCTGCTCCCTCCTTATTCATCCTTGACCCTTTCCCTTGGTTTTTTTTTTTGGACATATTTAAGTACCCCATTAACTGGTATACAGCTTTCTTTTATTTCTCCTGACACAGCCAACTCTCATTTTGCTATAATCCAGTGGATAGAATCTTGCTTTTATTCACAGCCATATTTGCTGCTTTTGACAAACCTTCAGTTCTCACAACACATCACATTTCTACCAGTATTTGCATTTTTCTATCTTGTTTATTTATGTTACAATGATTACAGCCTTCCCAACTCAAAAGGGGACTACAGCACATTAAATTTATGACTTTATTTAGTTCCTATACTTTTACCCTGCCACAATCAAAATGACTCTTAGCAGCTTACAGTCTAAATAAGCAAAAATTAAATATCTATGGTTAGCTTAAAATCAATCCAACACATAATAATTATAAAAATGGCCATAATAGTCCTGCCAGTAAAACAAAGACACAAACAACAAAAGCAAAGAAGCAGAAAATAAAAAAGAAACCTTAGGAAAAGGGCTTCCAAAATAACATGGTTTTTAACAGTTTCTGGAAAGCCAGCAAGGAGAGGACCTTGATGGATGGCCCCAAGATGGATGTCAATAAAACTTAGCCAGTGTTGAAGGCCAGTTGAAATAAAACTGTCTTTAAAGATCTTCTAAAAACCACAAAGGAGGTAGCTCTATGGACCACTGCAGGTGAGATTTCAAAAATGTTCCATAATTTAAACCCATTCCCTTTATCATACACTTTCTCTTAAATCAACAAAAGTACAGGAAACTTTCTCATACATTTCTATTACGTATTTTAAATGATTTCAACTTTTATTAAAATCATTCAGATCTGTTTATATTTAAGATTGCAAATGCAGATATATTTGCTTGATTATTTTTCCATTAATGCAGCTTCCTAGAAATATAACGAAGTTTGGCAACGGAACAAGGAAAAGCTGAGAGGAATAACAGAATTCAGTTGTAAGTAAATATCTATGGTGGACAATTATAGCCAACATTCCCCTCATTTAAATGGATTCTTTGCTTTCTGAAAGCAGTCCTCTTTTTCTGGCTAGAAATCCTGGAAGCTGCTACCCTAATTTTTGAATTAAAATTGTTTTAGAAACATTTGTCCCTGAGGTTGTTCCTGGACCATTACTAATACTTGTATATTATTAAAAAGTCTATCAGACTTTCCTTAGACTTTCTGCTTATCACCACACTACTTCAGATAGTGGAGTACTCCAGATTGATTCATCTGGCCTGACCTCCAGCTCCAGAGGAAAAATTGTAATTCTATCTCCCTAATGTTTCCTTTGGAAGAACAGCAGAAAGGTAATCTAGCAGCTGCTGAACATCTCCCCAAGACTGACTGGATCATGGAAACACAGGAATGTGTTGCCTGTCCTGGATTGGAAGAGGCCACAGGTTAGTTTTGAAACCAAAATACTTGCAGTACTCATTTTCATGGAAGTAACTGGTGTGTAACACCTATTTCTTTCGAAGCTTTATAAGGTGAAACTCCCTATTGTGGGAGAAGAGTTGTTTTTGTTCGTTTAAACTTTTTGTTCCCTTGCTGGTAGATGGTCCTGAGCATGGAGAGCATGTGAGGAGATTCTGAGGTGTTGGCACTGGAGACAGATCCAAAGTTCATAATTCCTGCTTGGTCCTTAGCAATAAGGTCAGAATCATGCAGGCTATAGTTTCCCCTGTGATGCTATATAGGTCCAAGGGCCTTGATTAAGCAGGATAGAAAGAATATTGGTGCTTTTGAACTTTGGTGTTGGAGAAGACTCCTGAGAATACCATGGATAGCTAAGAAAACAAACAAATAGATCATAGAACAAATCAGTCCAGAGCTACCACTCGAGGCACAAACGACCAGGGTCAAATTACTACATTTTGGACACATTATATAAAGACCCAGCTCCCTTGAGAAGTCCATAATGCTAGGAAAGGTGGAAAGAGAAGAGGGTGACCAGCAGCAAGATGGGTGGATTTGATTACTGCAGCAACAGTTGCACCATTGAGAGATCTGGCAGGACAGGTCTATCTATGTGGTTTTTAAGAGTTGACACTGACTTAATGGTACATAATCACTCAATCAGGTCCTGAGCAGAGGGACGAAATCTAAGCTGTGTAACCTAATTTGGACAAGGTGTATTTTTTTAGATATTAAACAATGCTCACGTGTCCCCTTCTTTGTTTATAATAATTATTTTTAGTAATAATTTTTATGTCCCCTTCCTTTAAAGAATCCCTAAAATGAGCTTGTAGCTTGGAAATAAAGGACAAAGGAGCCAATGAGTAAGACTGAAGGAAACTGATGTGGCCTAACCTGTTTTGCTTATTAAGAGGAACATCAGCCAAAATGTCAACTACAAATTGCTGATAAAAATAAAGGACCCAAAACCATATAAATGTAAATCTTTATTTTACCAAATATAATTTATCAGTTAAATTGGCATCTGTCAATTCAGTTACAGCAACTATAAATAAGGAATTTGTTTTCTTCTTTGAATAAAGGTATAAACCAATAGCTTAATTTTCATTTGCAGCCAAGTCTAAATATACATGCATTTGAGTGCAACTGGTGAGTATAAAATTATTTTTTTTACAACATTCTGTTCATATACTTGCACTTTGCTTCCCACCTCACCACTTCCAAGGCAATAAGATTCAGGGATCTCACCCAGGCAGCACTGACATTTCAGCTCCTGGATGAAGGGCTAAATTTAACTAGGAGACATATATCCTTTAATGAGATCCAGTGACATAGATATTAATCAGAGAGACAAATACAATGAGGAAAAATGATGCTTATGTGGTATTATATATATATAAGAAAAGTGCTTAAAGTGTTAGATTAAAAATGAATGCATCCAACTGGACATTTAGATGCTGGTAAGGCAGGTGAAACTTCTTGAAAGAGCTTAAGACTTAACACGATAGGATGAAATCCTTAGACTCTTTTGAAAGTAATTAGATAGCTTACTTGGAAAAAGTCCATTTCTTAAGCAGAAGCTAAGCATTTGCGCCTACTGAAATCTGAAGGAACCTCACACAGAGGGCAGGCAAGCACACCATCTTCAGCCATATCCATTACTCCCAAATTACTGAGGGCATCATGCCTACAGAGGGATCTCACAAACAATTGCAGCATGAATTCAAAATCTCCCTTGACAACATATTAAAATATGGTGATGGCGGCGCCCAGGTTGCAAACTAAAGTAGGTCATAGGATTATCCTAAAAATAGCTGCAGTCTACAGAAGCTCCTGTGGAATATATTGCCCACAATTTTATATTCACTTCCACTCAGAATTTTAATTTTGGTCAAGCCATCTAAATTGCAGCAACATAGTTTTAAGAGTAACTTGCAGGAAAGCCGCTGTTACATTCCAGATAACAGCTCAACTCCAGAAAAAAGGACTCACCACTTTTCTGAAAACCACAGGCATTCAATTTAATTACTTGGGCAAGTTTAGGGCTGCAACCACCAGAAGGCAGAAAAGAAATGCTAAAAAATTTAAATGTTTTGTTGCCATATGGTGGTTCTCTGGATTTTTGCAACCTATATCTGGTAGCCCTATGCATTTTGAAAGTAATAAATTAAACCAGGAACCAGGGATCCATCTATCAACATCCCTCCGTCCCTCCTACTTCAGCTTTATTAGTAATTAAAGCAGGCATTTCAGAACAATCCTTGATTATAGAGAAGCCAAAGCAAAAGAGAGCCTTAAAAAAAAAAGCTTTAATGGAGTTATGCATTGAGGAAATGTATATGACTAGTGAGTCATATACAAAAGAGGTAGGTGTCCCAGAAATTTTGGTTATATTGTTGAGTTCAATACCAAATAAAATGCAGCACAATAGGCCTCCACTCTCTCTGGAACAGCCCAGAATCTTAATTTCCATTATTGGATAAAATGAAAAAGATCCCCCTTTCACATCTTGTTTTATATAACTAATTTGGCATTTCCTATTTAAATATTTTGAATTACTTATGCAGAAGCTCCATCTATACAAGCAATATAGTGTGAGAGGATGAATTCTGAAGAACTTTACAGTAAGAAGAGTGTACTTCATACCAAAAATCCCTGCTCACAGAACCTGATCTTTTGTTGCTTCCACAGATTCAATTGCTATCCAAAACATCCAAATCAGCTGCAATCTGGTTTTTACAACACGTAAGAAAATAAATGCCATTTCTTCAGATTCATGATAGCATTTATCAATTTGTTGTAATACTATAGATGTTCTGACTTTCGACCTAGGATAAGGGTCTCACTACCACGCAGGCTGGCAAATATGGGTAGTACCTGCCAACTACGCCATGCAGACAGAACAATGTTGGCATACAAGTCTAAACCTCAAGATAAGCCTATAAAAATTATGTGGGGAGCTTTCATTTCTGATTGTATTTCATGCGAAGCCTTTTGAAAGGAACCAACTGCTTCTTGGTATAACAGCGCATTGATGTTACAATGCATCAGGTTGGCTCTGGGTAACATATAACAAACTACTTTAAGATGCATCCAATACTTTTATTTGAATTTTGTAGATCTGAGGAAGTGCTAAGCACCTATAGTTGCCTTTAATTGTATCATGATCTAGCATCAAAAAATTAAGACGTGTCTCAGTCCCACATATTGAAGGTTTTCAGATCCATAAAGACCTGTCTTCTGGTCAATTAGATGTATTATCATGGATAAGCAAGGATAGGTATGTGTGTGTCCAAACCACTTAATCTATTTCACAGCTCAGTTGTGATAACAGATGAAAAACATGTGCCTAGTTTAAAAACAAACCAAATCCCAGCTGCATCTTAACTATTCACATCACATATGTTATACAGGTGATAGCCTTATATAACTAGTGCAGTGTTTTTCAAACTTGGCAACTTCAAGATGTGTGGACTTCAACTCTCAGAATTCCCTACAGGTGATAGCCTTATATAACTAGTGCAGTGTTTTTCAAACTTGGCAACTTCAAGATGTGTGGACTTCAACTCTCAGAATTCCCTACAGGTGATAGCCTTATATAACTAGTGCAGTGTTTTTCAAACTTGGCAACTTCAAGATGTGTGGACTTCAACTCTCAGAATTCCCCAGCCAGCATGCTGGCTGGGGAATTCTGGGAGTTGAAGTTCATACATCTTGAAATTTCCAAGTTTGAAAATCATTGATCTAGTGCCTTAAGTGGGTACAGATGGAGGAAGGTGGGATTTATTTAAAATTTGTTGATCAATTTTTCTCTATTATACCTTATAGTTAACCATTTTGAAATTGCACTTGGTGATTGTCTTTACACATTTGCGTTTGTCCTTCCTAAAACTAATTCTTCTGTACATACTTGGCTTGAAATATAAACCACATAAAGTTCCCATTGAAAATAATGAGAATCTAGTATCAAAGTTAAAGTCCCAAAGAAAGACAGAGGGTGGCAACAAAGCTTCACGGGGGCAGGGGAATGTCACTGAAGGAGATGAACTGGGGACTGAAGAAGCTGAGGAAGGGTGCTGTTAGTCTCCCACATCAGTATCCCGATCCCCAATTAGCCAGAGGATATGGAAGCTGAGTGCCAGAAGACCTGTCCCAAGCAAGTCACCCAGTGCTGTCAAATAAGGTATAGAAAAGTTGTCCGGGTCCAGGCCTCGACCCCACATCCAATGAACCATCCAGTCAGCAATGTAAAGAAGAATGAGAACCTGAAAGGCACAAGCAGAATGGTCATGTTAGCAATAAATAGGTCAAAACACCAGGGCAGATGTGAAGACTACTTCCTTCAGTCCTCCTACATTAGGTTACCAGTGGGGAAACATCTTGTAGATCCCTCCATGGATATGGATGCCCTCCATGATTGATTGTCTTCTCTTGCGTGGGGCAACATTATGGACTAAATTGTCACTAGAGTTGAAGCAAGCCTCCTTCTTACTATAACTTAGGAAGAAATGCAAAACATGTTTATTTTTTCAGGCCTTTTAACAGTACTGGTTTAATTTCTGTGTTTTATATCTGTAATATTTTAATATATTTTTATTGTATCTTACACTACAAAAGATTTTTGGACCTCCTGGTTCTGGGGACCTTCCATCTTCGGTTCTGGATGGGGTGGCACTGCAATCTGGGGGGGTGTAATATGGGGCTCCTCCTAGACTCATGGCTGCTGATTTACAAAAATGCATGCAATGCTTGTAGCATTAATTTGGAAGGGAGACGGCTTTCAAGTTATACATCAGCTCATATATCAACAAACAGATAAGAAATTGCAGTCTAAAATGACTCAGAATGCCCTACTTGTGCAGGAAAATAGGATTAAGAGAGAATAAGGTTTCTAACACAGAGAAAGAAGACATTAAAACCTAATGCAACATCTAACTAACTTGTTCCTTAGCAATAATCTGAATTCCAAAGCAAAGCTTATCCCTGGACCTCCCCCAGATTCTTGGGGTAATGCCAGGTATTTATCAAGGCTGCTGGAACATGGTACATCCCACTTGTTTTCCCAGCTTTTTGCTTTGTTTCCTCTGAGTTCTGTCTTTGTCTTAAGAAACTCTCTAGGTTGAAAGGTAGGAGGCTGGTTGGACTTTTACTCCTGGGTCCAAACACCTGTTGCTCCTTCAATACTCTCTCTCTTCTCATTAGCACAGGAATCTGTTGCCAGCCTGCTTCCACACCCTGAGCTGTGTTTAATAGCCATGTCTACTGTTCTTTAGAAGAACTATACCTTGCTTTCTGAATTTTAGCTCAATTGTTAATTTAACTTCAAGAGTTAACAACCACTTCCACAGGCATGGAAAGCCAATTTCAGCCAGAAGCATCATGGGACAATCTCACTGCCCCCCCCCGTTGATTAAGAATCATAAGAACCTACTGAGGCAGCTGAAAGCAATCTGCCTCACCAGCATCCATTGTGCACCATCCATTCTATCTGATATGGCAGTTTACTACCAGGTAGACAAAGGCATGATCAAAGAGGGAGGCCATTTATGTAAGATTGCACTGCATGTCCTTCCTCCCTGCAGGCAATCTAATTTTTACTATCCCATGGCTATGCAATGTTGAATACAAAAGGGGAAAAAGCTTTCATTACAGAGGAGTATACAGCTCTACATTCAGTCACACAGATATTCAATGTCTAATTCAGCACTGGACCACAGGGCCCATGCAGTTAACTTACATAAGGAATATTAGCACCTCAGAATAAACTACTCTTTTAAACATTTTGATGGCAGTTTTATTGCATGGCACTCCCAAACCTAACCAATCTAACCTCAGCTTGTACAAATGTACTTTTCTGGCAACTGAATGTTCTTCAGTTTGTCTACACAGTCCACAAGGCTAGAAACTTGTCTTTATTTTTAAAATTTCTTCCTTTTGACAGTAATTCATTAATTAGTTTTACTGAATAGCCACTTATATCCACATTATAACAAATAAATGTATCATAAAACATTATAGCACAGATGTTAGTAAAATAAAATTGATATGTTGAGATTTCCAATATGTATGCGACATGCACATTAGATTAACAAAATAAAGGCAGTATATTTGGACAACACAGAATTTGAAAAAACTGGGCATGTTTTCCATGAATATCATTGGAAGATGAATAATCTGGATATTCAAATGTATATATTCAAAAATATTTTAAGATAACCAAGCACTCTTTATTCGATATTCTCACAGTTTTAAATCAGAGGATGATTTTTAAAAATGGCAGGGTGTTAAAAAATGACCCATGGGATGTGTCACCATGGAAACAACATATGCCTAATAGACTTTCTAATGGGAGATGTTGGTTTTATTCAGCAAATTAAGTATATGGTTATTATCTGTAATGATTCTTTAAGTGTGTGCACGTGTGCATGCATGTGTGCACGCATACCTATGTAAGTACAGAGAGAAAAGAATAGGACCTCGACGGAAATATGCAAGCACCGCTACCTAGGCAAAAGGGGCTGAAACATTTTGTACGTCCGGAGCAATGAGATAACTTTTGGAAGTGCTCAAGCAGTCACTCCCCTAATTCCCTGAAGCAAAAGAAGGGAGAGCAGGTAGAGCACAATCAGACTTGCAAGATTCTGTTATTATGGCTAATTTCAATAAAAGTAGCTTTAGCCTTCCTGTGGAGTTGACTTCCTGATCTGGTTTACATAGTGGGGCTGACTGTGTGTATACACACACACAGACACACACATGCTGAAGATGCATTTAGTGATATCTCTAAGACTTCAGTTAACATCCAATGCTACGAAATGTACCTCCTAATTAATTATTATATAAACACACCCTGGGAATTAACTACATATTAACTCTGGTTGGGCAAACAGAAAGCGACCTAAACTTTCAGGAAAATGGAATGAATTACAGAAATTAAGGAATAATAGAGAGTGTGTACTTCTATTAGCAAATGATCAAACTCCTTCTGTACAATGTCAGTGCTTCAAAGTTATTCATTTCATATGCAATATGAATTATCTTAATTTATTCCAAGCAGGTTTTGCTTTTTTATTTGTGTATTTATTTTAAGTTTTAAATCTTGCCTCCTAAGAGCTTAAGATGTTGCAAACAATACCTCTTCCCTTAATGGCACACAAGGTACACATATGTCAGTGTTGTCCAAACTTGGCCACTTTAAGATGAGTGGACTTCAACTCCCAGAATTCCCCCCCCCGAGCCGCCTAGGGGGGGGGTCTGGGGTATTGACCCCACCCCACTCCAAGTTAGGCCGACAGTGCCCACCGGAGTCTCTACAGTGGCGG